AATACCAAACAGGGCTCCAGGCCCCAAATGACGTGTGAGTGTTAGAGTTGCCTTCGGTGGCATGCATCTCTTTGTGCCTGAAGCCTGGAGAGCAGCTCCTCTGCTGCTCACACGCTCTGCACAGTTGGCACAGCCTACTGTGCGGCTGCCACAGCTGTCACAGCGATGGGCTCGCCCTCACTGGCCCTCAGTCACTTGTGCTGCGGCTTGTGTGAGCGACACTGCTCGGCGACTGCCGGCACACTGTGAGACCATGGGTGTGAGGTTAAACCACGCTACCAGCGCTTGGTCACATCGGCCCTGAGGTCAGATCCTTCTCCTCTGTTGATGGTAACACTTGTCTACTCGCTGGAGCCGAGCAGGAGGGCCCGGCGCACAACCCCTGGTCAACTCACGGGGGGTCCACACCCCGTAAGCGTAACTTCTAATAGAGAGTCGGGAGTCGCCGTGAGCCCGTAACATTACATCCTCCTGCTGATCTCCGCAAAGTCCTGCTCCCTCCCTCGTCTTCGCCCTGCGCGTCTTCCGCCTCCCCGTCGTCTGCCCTGTGCGTCGTCTGGCGACTGGTCACCTACATAAAAAAAGTTAGAGGTGTGGAGGGTGGGTTGAACGAAATCGAGGGACGCGACCCACCTCGCCACAGACGGTCCCGCGCCTCGCCGCTAAGACGGGTACACGACCGCGGCTCGTGTGCGTGTACCCGTCTTTGTCCGGATTGAAAAGTCCAACGCGCTCGTCGGTGGCGGCTTCCCTCAACCTGCGCCGCGCTCGGCGAACCTCGACAGCGCTTTCGGTGGCATGCACATCAAGCTGCTGTACGGCCCCGGGGCATCGCCTTCCCAGGCTTAGCTAGACTGAGAGATATTGTGGACATGGTTGGTCTCTACAATATATACACTGACACTAAACCTCCCAGAGCTCGTCCCGGTCCGTCACGGCCATCCTCGTCCTCCGGCGGGCCCCCGGCCGTGGCGCGGTGCGGCGGCGTCACAAATCCGACGGCAGAGCACCGGGACGCGGTCGGGCGATCTAAGGCCCAGTGAGGCGTATGCATTGCCCATCCAGGACTATCACCTGGACCTATCAACAGGGGCTGCGGCTGGAGCCGAGCAGGAGGGCCCGGGGCGCACAACCCCTTGTTCAACTCACCCTCCACACCCCGTACGACCACAAGCACAAGACCCCACATGCCACAACTGACGCGTGACACTCACGGTCACGCCTCCACCCCTCTTATCTGATTTTTTACGCTTGCTCAGCCACCTGTCGCCCCCGTCTCGCCAGCCGAGGCCGTCTGGGCTGCTCGTGGCGCTAGTGCCCTGCGAGTACGCCCGTGGCGTTGATTGGCCAGCCGACAAAGCGCCGCAACGCCTCGCCCGGCCCCTGCCTCTGCCATGTGAGGACACCGACGGCCACGTTAGAGACGACCAGCCCGGTGAGCAGCGCCACGATCCAGAGGGCTCCGCTCCCATCCTCAAAGTGGCGCGGCGACTTGCGCTCGAGCGACTTGAAGCGCAGCACGTACATTCGCAAGGCGTGCACGACGATGGCGGCGGCTGGGATGCTAAGGGCGAGGCCCGCCGACTGGATGGCGAACGAGTTGCGAGAGGCCTGCAGCGCGGCGCCGAGCACCGTCAGGATTGTGGCCATCTCGAACCACAAAAGCATCGTCCGCTCGTTGGCGAAGTACGACCTAGGCTCTACGCGAACCGGAAAGACGATGTGGGGATGACGGTGCCGTGCCGGCAGGTGGGCGGCGATGAGCCTCGAGACGAG